TATTTATATATAATATACTAGCTGACCCGACAGACGTTGTTCTGTACTCATGTCTACAATTTTTCATTTTTTATACTAATATTTACTGCTTAGTTAAAAATAATAATTAATGTTTTTTGAATTACTATTTACACAAATATGAGTGATGTTGAATGTAGAACTATTTCAAATAAAATGATTGTTCTCAATTCCCACAGTTAACACTTTAATTATTCATTTAACAAATATTAAAAAATGTTCAATAAAATTGTATATTAAAAATTATACACTGCGATTTATAAAACAAATTTATTTCCAATAGCTCAATTTATTTTATTGCATTTAAGGGTTATAGTATTTTTAGTCATACCTGTAGATGTGGATGTATATAAATGATGATTTTTTGTTTATTCACGACTAAAACATGATTTTCCAAATTTATCACACTAAAAATGATCGTCTGCCTTTGTGATTTATGGTTAGCATAAGATACACGTGTTGAAAATTGAAATCTTTTAAAAAGTACAACAAATTCAGAAAGAATTAATATATAGCATTCGCGGCAAAGGTGCAATATCACCTTTTATTTTTCTACCCAAAATATATGCTTCAATAATGTTGCCTATAATTTTTTATAATTTCGTACCATATTTTAACTGGCTTTTAGTAATTTTAATATCTAAATTACATTTTTTCTCTAATAAATCAATATACATTATTGCTTAAGTTTATATTTGAAGTGAATTAATTTGTCAAATCCTGTTCACATGTGCTCTATTCAACTTACAATCAACAAAATTATTGCTCTGTGATTTTTTTTACTGTGCTCCAATTTACTTGATATTTTGGAAATAGGCTAATCTTTATCTTAATTTCAATGTTTTTAACAATTTGCACTCCGTCACCATCCACAGCATTAATTGGATTATTACTCTTTTAATTCTGATTTTATCAGAACTTGTAATACACTATTTAAAGGTGATTAAATGAGCTACAACTTTCTCTATCATTAATTTTACGTAACTTCTCTTATTGTAAAACGGCGAAGTTTTAAAGGGCTCGAAAGACCTCTGGTTGGACAGCTCCTTAATTAATCATACATCTATCATATTTGTGTAACGAAAAAAATAATAAACAATAATAATTAGTCAGAAAAATACCTCGAATTTCTTATATATATATACTTTTATACGTATTCTTTCAGAGGTATTATGATGAGAAATTGGTTGTTTTTTTTTAAATGTTTTTTTTTGTTTTTTCATGAAATCATGAGTTTTTGAGAATCATTTGTACTAAAGTTGTGGTATTTCTAGAATCCATCAAGATCTCTTAAACCAAGTTAATTCTAGATTGAATACGATTATTTTTAATTTTGGTGGATATGGCACTCAAAGTATTTGATTTAATGAAAAAAAAAAACATTGCATGCGTCCTTTATCTGCATGATAGCTCACTCATTTTACACGCAGAAGTACTCATTTTAAAGCTTATTTTGAGCACTATAAAAACCCATTTTTATATCTAGCCTAATAATGTTCCTAAAACACTATAAAATAACGATTATTAAGATTTTAATTGATATATTCTGTTCATTACATGATTTTCGTTAAAATGTATATTTTTGAAGGTGTTAGCAAAAAATGATGAAAAAACGCAAAAAAAAAACAAATATTCAGTAGCCAGTAACTTGAAAAGTATTTCGTTTTTGAAAAACATTATTAAATATTTTTCTCGTATAATTAGTTTTTTTATCGATACCCAACGTTATTTTGAAAAAGTAAAATTACACCACTGAAAAGAAAAGTCATCCACCCGAGAAGTGGTAAAGGAGTCTAAATTTTTCACTTCTGGAGAGTAAGATGAACCTAGTTCCAAATTCCAAACGAATTGGAAAATAGTAAAAATTTCAGACCCAAAGCGCTCCATTGAGTAAATATTCCGTACCCAATGACAAACATATGAATTTTGACACAATGAAACTTCTAAATAATTTTTTTTGTATTGTGATTTAGTATAGTAAGGCAAAACGACTGCAAATTGAATATGTTTGAGCGCAATCACTTATGGCTCGCTCCTTTGCGCGAATTCGTACGGCGAATCTGTTCGCAAAGTGCGCAAACAAAATTATTGCAAGCAAAAGCAAACCACGCGCACGTCAGACGCATGCGCAGACTGCATCACTTGTCAAATGCATGTTAAATTATTTGCATCTTATATTAATTTAATTTTTGGCACATCTCAGCTGCTTTTCGGCATTAATAATGTAGACATTAAATTTTTCTTATTCATAATTATGAATTTATTATTTCTAATATCGCCTTAGCCTATAAGTGAATAGAAATGTTTGGCAAATAACAGTCCTCAATTGTTTTTAATGTCAAACTAAGTTTCAAATATTTTCAAGGGCAAACAATGATAAGCGGTTTTTTATAATTTTTTCTATTTATTTCTACAATCTAACTATATTTCTATGAATCAAAACATTCTAAAAAATTTCCCGAACAAACTTCAGGAAGATTTATGAAAATCCGAATTATAGTTTAGGAGGAAATATGAAACTTACATTGTTACAGAAGAATTTTATATATAAGATATATATATATATATATATATCCTGCTTTTACTAAAGATCCCCCAGCTGATGATATTATTCTCGCAGTACTAAATCAATATATGCGTCTGGTTCAGCTCAAAATGTTACAACAGGAGTTCTACTCGCAAAAACATAAATATTGAATCAAATAATATGTGGGCTAAAGAATTGGTATCAAATTTAATCAGGCGTACCACATAAAACCTAACCTACAAAACGCCTGAACATCAAATAACAATTTTATCATATTCCGATATCTCATTGGCAAGACAATCATAAAGTTGGGTTTTATATGTAAAATATCTTATTGCACAGGAAATACATAGCATTTTGATAGTTTGTTGCTACCGACTCATACAAATATAGACCCGTAACGGAGTTGGCTTCAGAAAGATACACACATACATTTTGCAATTTCAGTGCCAAAAGTTCAGAATGACTTGTAACGCCACAAAAATTTAAAAATAGCTAATTGGATTTTCCAGCTTTGAGAAGTTAACCCTTTCCACTCGGATGCCGCAGCTCCGGCGGCAAAATTCATGTAAATCTCGGAATTAGCGTGTGGAAAGGGTTAATAATATGTATCATTTTTATGCTGCTTAAACCTTAAAAGTCTCTTTTACCAGTACAATTCGTCTTAAACTTCAGCAAAAAAAATCCGCCATTTCCTAAATAATAAAACTGCAAACTTGCATAGCAACTACAGAGCACTTCATTCCGCTTTTACATAACCAAAGACTCACACAAACGCAATCTTACAACGATAAACTCGCCCGCGGGCTGATTGCCAGAAAGAGATCACGCTATTGGGGATTGAATTGGGGGGATATGTCTGTCGCGCTCTTGCCGGCATCGGGAATGTAAAGTATATACACTCGGTTGTATATATACACATGTAATATACAAATGTACATGTATGTATACATGTATAAATATACATTATGTATATATACATATACAAATGTATATGTATATTATATACATATGTATATCCAGTGCCAATTATATACTAGACAGCATGACTACACTCGGTGCTTACGTCATGTACCATATAGTGCAACCCAACTGTTTAAAACCGAGTTTCGATTATACAAAATTATATATAATTTGCCAGCTGTACTATTTATAGTACAATTTTGAAAACCAAGCTAAAATTTTCTACAATGTTTAAATATTACGTTGTGATAAAAATTATATGACATAATTGTTTCTATTTATTTTATTTTATTATTATATAAAGCGATGAATGTCAGCCAAACCTTACATGGTATTCAATATCGATTTTAATGTATACCAAGTTGTTGTAGGGTCTTATAATGTTAGACAAACCAGTAGATAATTTAATTTTGTACAGGTTTGCCGAAAACAAGATTTAAATTTAGCAAATAGTTTAAAAGTTATTCAAGATATAATGGGAAAATGTACTTGGAAATGAATAATTTTCGTTAAAGTCGATTCATAGTTTTCTTTAACGGTTCTAGAGTAGAGCTAGTTGCTGTTGGGTCTTATAATGTTAGAAAAAATTGTTATTTATTCAATTTTGTACAAATTTGCCGAAAACACTATTTGAATTCAGCTAATAATTCAAAAGTTATATATGATGTAACGAACAAGTGTACCTGTGCCAAGTAAATTTTGTTGCATCGCACTAATTAGCTTCAGGATTTTATTGTAACATTCAATATTAATTTTAAAATATACCGAGTTGTTCTAGAGTCGTATGTTGTATGTAAAAGTTGTAGAGTATTTAATTTCGTACAAATTTGCAAAATATTTCATTTACTTTATGCAAATGTATCAAAAGTTACAAGAGTTACAACAAAAATACGCAAGAGTACATTTAGCGCGTTAAAATTAATATTTTATTAACTTCCCAAAGGAGAAGTTTATGTTTTCATCAAAAAATCCGATTCGCTAACTTTATGTTTTCTCGACGTTTCAAGCCATTCTGAATCGAATTAGACCAAATTTAAGGGAACAGTATGTGTGTGTGTGTGAACAGATTTTTTGCCGTAAATCGACGTTTTCTCAAAAACGGTTAGACCGATTTCAAAAATTTAAAAGCCATTCGATGTATTTCGATGAGGACTAGCGTTTCAGAGTTTTGTGTGACGATCGGCCCAGCCGTCTCTTTGTAAATCGCAAAAAAGTGAAAAAAATTTCGTCCACGTTTTAGCCCGCAGTTCTTAATCGATTTTGAAAATTCAAAAACCGTTCGAAAGATATTGGTTGAGAATCGTGCCGATTAGTTTTTGGTAGAGATCGACCGGGCCGTTTTCTGGTAATGAAGTTTTTTAAAAAAAAATTTCGTCGATTGTTATGATTATTTTTTTGACGGTAGATATATTAGTCTTTTAGATCATACTAAAATATTACGACCCTACGACAATTCGTTTAGCTTTAAAAATTCATCAAAGTATGCAAAAATTAGTATCGTTCTTTTGGCATTTGTCAAAATTAGACTTTTGATCGACGTTTTCTCAGAAACGCCTGAACCGATTTCAGAAATTTAAAAGCCATTTGATGTATCTCAATGAGGACTATCGTTTGTCAGTTATGTGAGACGATCTACCTAACCGTTTCTTTGTAATTTGAAAAAAAGTGTTAAACTTTTCGTCCACATTTAAGCTCAACCTACCGAACCGATTTTAAAAAATCAAAAACTGTTCGAAAGATATTAGTTGAGAATGGTACTGATTAGTTTTAGGTGAAAATCTATCGAGCCGTTTTCTTGTAATTAACTGTTGAAAAAAAAATTCAAGCGGATTTTTATGGAACTTTTTTGGCGATATATATCATGGTCTTATATTATAGAACTTACTGAAATATTAATGCCTTACGACATGTAGCTTAATTTTAAAAGTTCATCAAAGTTTAAGAAAATGAGTAGTTTTGTCGACGTTTGTTAACATTAAAATTAGACGATTTACTTGGTATAACTATAGAGTACTTGGTTTTAATGAACATACTAACCCATTAAAGTCCTATGGAAACTGGTTCAATTATAAAAATGGTTGATTTTTGAAAATTTGCTATTAGAAAATACTCCGAGTTAACGTGTTCGTTCATTTGCAATTATGTGTAATAAACCCTAATAATTCTTCTAATCACTCATAAATTAAATTATTTTTTTTGATTAAGTCGATTATTTACACATATCGGGAAGTTCATGTAACTTGCCTCGACTAAATACCAAACCAACTAGTTATTCATTTTCCGGTGAATTTGAAAGTATACCGAGTTGCTGTAGGGTCTCAAGTTGTATGAAAAAGATGTAGATTATTTAATTTTGAACAAATTTGCCAAAAACACTATTTAAATTCCGTGAATAGTTTAAAAGATATTTAAGATTTAATAAACAAATGCACTTGTAAATTTTAGTTAAAGTCAATTCATAGTGTTCTATAACGGTTTTAGAGTATAAGGAGTTGCTGTAGGGTCTTATAATATTAGACAAAGTTCTTGTTCATTCAATTTTGTACAAATTCCCCAAACATTCCATTTACCCCAAACAAACCATTTAAAAGTTACAAGAGTTCAAATAAATAAACGACCTACCTTATTATCCTTAACCGCCTCTCCTCTCTCTCTGTCCCTCACGACTCTAGCAGCTGTTTCTGCTTCCCTGGTGTAGTAGAGTTTCGAACCGGCCAGCAGTAGCAGCACCTGCCGCCAGACGCGCTGCTGGGCGTGAGCGTTGCCGCACGAGGGCCCAGCTCGGATCCAAACCAGGCCGACGAGGGTGAACTTGGGGTTGGTGGAAATGTTGGCTGATGACGATTGGGCGAAGACGGAGGACGAAGACTGCAGTAGTAATTGAGAAGTTTAAAAATATAAAGTTTTCTGTATAATTATTATATTTAGTGAATAGCTCTTTACGAATCAGAAACATGAACTCTGAAGAAAGTCGATGAAAAGATCTGTACGGTTTCAAGATTTGGTGCTGTAATAGATAGAGACGAGAAATTTGACTGGAAAGGTGCAAATAAGGAAGTACTGCGCCAAATGATAGAGAAATAGAGAAAAGACCTCTACTGCCTATCATATTGGTCCACTACTATTTATTATTTTCATTAATGACATTTCTGATACTATTAACTGTCCACATTTACTATTTGCAGATGATCTGAAACTATATCTCAAAATAAATTCTATTGATGACTGCTCATTATTACAGTCTCAACTTGACCTTTTCCAATCTTGGTGTATCTATAACAAATTACATCTAAATATATCAAATTGCAAGATTCTTAGCTTTACACATAAGCGCGTTCCAATACTTTTTGATTATAAAATTTCTAACACCAGCATTGATAGATGTAATAAAATTTCCGATTTAGGTGTTCTATTTGATTCTGGTTTGTTTTTCACAGATCATGTAATTGATATTTGTAATAGAGCACATCGATCTTTAGGTTTGATACTAAGAAATTGTAAACAATTTAAGTCTACCAATGCACTTCTTTGCATGTACTATTCTATTGTACGTTCAAAATTAGAATACGGTTCGATTATTTGGTATCCTCATCATATCAACAACTCTGATGCGATAGAGAAGGTTCAGCGAAAATTTCTGAAGTATCTTTATTATAAAACATATAAAATTTACCCTGAACGTGGCTTTGACCACAACACTTTACTAAAAGAATTTGGTATTCCTTCCCTTGCCTCACGTCGATTTATCTGTACAATTATGTTCTTATTTAAACTTTGCAATAATTCTATAGACTGTCCTCTTATTCTCAATCAACTATCCTTTAATGTTCCAAGGCTATCTTCGCGTTCACAATTATTTTTCAATTATCCCACCCCTAAATCTAATTCCCTCTTAAATTCGCCAATTATACTAATGTCCTCTAACTTTAACTTAATTAATAATGAAATAGATATTCACAACACTTCACCTAATAATCGAATAATCTCCATCTGCACAAGTTAACCTTTTTATTTTCTTTTTCAAATATCTCATTATTTTCTTATTCTGTTTATAAATATTATTGTTACATTCTGCATTATATGCAATTTTATCTTAGCATTTTATGTTACTAACTATATATTGTAATTTTGTATATATTTTATTTGTTATTCATTATTTTAAATAATTGTATTTTTGAGTCCTCTTAGAGAAATCTGTGGGCTATATATTTAAATAAATAAATAAATAAATAAATAAATATTGGAAAAAGAGTTCATTCTGCAGAACAGCAGAAAAATAGTGAACTTACCGTGTATATAGGATTGATAAAATCGTCAATAGCACTTGCAACCATCATGTCAGTCGGGAAAAAATTCTGGAACAAAAAAATGAAATAATTAAAATCTTAGTTTTAAACAATAGGTCAAGAGTGATATATCACAAAACATCAAAGCATCATAAATAAATGTTTTTAAAAAAGAAATCATAATTAATAATGAAAAGTTAAAAGTATAATGACCATGTAGTGACATAATACCAATACACAGTATAAGTGCAACAGAGGGTCTATTGTGCCCAAATTAATCGCTTACATCGATGATGTAACTTTAATACACGTTCTTCAAATTTTTAATATTTTTTAGCATTCCAAAGGAGAAGTTTATGTTTTCATCAAAAATCCGATTCGCTAATTTTATGTTTTCTCGACGTTTCAAGCCATTCTGAATCGAATGAGACCGAATTTGGAAAATGTAAATCGACATTTCTCTAAAATGGCTGGACCGATTTCAAAAATTTAAAAGCCATTCGATGTATTTCGATGAGGACTATTGTTTGTCAGTTTTGTGCGACGATCGGCCAAGCCGTTTGTTTCTTTATGAATCGCAGAAAAGTGGAAAAATTTTCGTTTACGTTTTAGCCCGCAATTCTGAATCTATTTTGAAAATTCAAAAACCGTTCGAAAGGTATTATTTGGAAATCGTGCTAATTAGTTTTTGGCACAGATCGGCCGGGCCGTTTTCTTGTAATAAAGTTTAAAAAAAAATCGGCGATTTTTATGATTTTTTTTTGACGGTAGATATCATAGTCTTCTAGGTCATACTAAAATATTACTGCCTACGACAACTCGTTTAGCTCTGAAAATTCGTCAAAGTTTGCAAAAATTGGTGTCGTTTTTTTGGCATTTGTCAAAATTAGACCTTTCATTGACATTTGCTCCAAAACGCCTGAACCGATTTCAGAAATTTAAAAGCCATTCGATGTATCTCAATGAGCCCTATAGTTTGTCAGTAACGATCTGCCGAGCCGCTTCTTTGTAATTTGGAAAAGAGTGTTAAACTTTTCATCCACATTTAAGCTCATCCTATCGAACCGATTTTAAAAAATCAAAAACTGTTCAAAAGATATTAGTTGGGAATGATACTGATTAGTTTTAGGTGAAAATCTACCAATCCGTTTTCTTGTAATTAACTGTTGAAAAAAAATTAAGCCGATTTTCATGGAACTTTTTTGGCGATATATATCATGGTCTTACAGAACTTACTGAAATATTACGGCCTTAGGACAAGTAGTTTATATTTAAAAATTCATCAAAGTTGAGAAAATGAGTATTTTTTTGACGTTTTAAAATTAAAATTAGATGATTTACCTGGTATAACGATAAATGCTTGGTCTTAATGAACATACTAAACAATTAAAGTCCTACAAAAAATTGGCTCAATTATAAAAATTATTGATTTTTCAAAATGTGCTTTTAAAAAATACTCCGACCGGGTTGACGTGTTCGATTTTCAATAATGTGTAATAAATCCACTTCGAATACTTTTAACTACTCATAAATTAATTTATCTATCATGAATGAAGTCGATTATTTACACATATCGGGAAGTTCATGTAACTTGCCTCAAGGCAAAATACCAATACCAACTAGTTTATTATATATTTTTGTGAAAACATACTTGTGATTTAGTTGAAAATATATTTTATACGCGTTTATTTTGTTTTAATTTCATTTATTCCAATTAATCAAGCTTATCATTTTTATATTAAATATTTAAATAAATCTTATCTAGTTTTCAACCTATTGGTAAATTTACGTGCTACAGTTAGTGGCGCACTCTATCGAGTCCCTAAAAACTAGAATTGAAGTAATGTCAAAGCAATTTATTTCTGCTTATTTATCTACGATTTTGTTACCGCTGTGTGGACCCAGCCTAATAATGACTGTTGAGTGTTGAAATTTATTCGAAAGGCTTTTGAGTGATTTATTGAGATCTCTGACATTGAGATGAATAGGAAGAAAATTAGATTTGTTAAATACTACAATGTGTTGTGTTGAGGTTTTGCTAATTTATTTTACTCGTACCATTTATAGTACAAATACTTGTATTTAACTTTGTTTCATTAAAATTGCATAATGTTTTGTAATTGTTTTTGCGAAAGCACTACTTACTTTCCTGGTTTCGTTTAAATAATATAAAAGTCGTTAAAAGTTGTGCAAAGTTACAAAGTTGTTGGAGCATAAATATAATAAACTGAGTCTGCCGCATCATAATTTTCTGCGAAAATAAATATTTTTTTTATTTCGTTTCATTAAGTTTTAATATTTTTTAACTTCCCGTAGGGTAAGTTATAGTAATCGCAAAAAAATCAAAAATGAAAATTTTTATATATCTTTACGTTTCAGAGGTTTCTGAATATTTTGGCATACCTTAGAAAAAATGGATGTATGTGTGTGTGTGTGTGTGTGTGTGTGTGTGTATGTATGTATGTATGTATGTATGTATGTATGTATGTATGTATGTATGTACGTGTGTGTATGTATGTGCGGATACAAATTTTCGTCGACGATTTCGCGAACACGGATCAACCGATTTGAATAATTCAAAAAACATTCGATTCGTATTGATAAGGAGACGTGCTGATTAGTTTTTGGCGAAGGCAGGTCTAGCCCTTCCGAAGATACGGGGCAAAAAGTGCCGAAAACGGTAACTCAATTTTTAAGAGAACGGAGCGTTCGATTTGAATAATTCAAAAAACATTTCACTTGTATTGACAAGATGAAGAATCGATAAAATTTTCATGATGGTAGGTCTAGCGGTTTCGGAGATATGGAGGAAAAAGTAAAAAAATGAGCCATTTGGCGATCAAAAATGATCATTAGACATATGCACATCAAATTATCAGATATTTTATAGAGATTTTAACAATCAGTATACATTTTGTTAACATTCCTATGGGTTCCGTACCAATGCTTATGCGTTAGACAGCGACGCGGCGCTTACGCGTTTTATATTTTGTCCCTATGCAGTTAAAGCAGTAAGATTGCTTTGAAAAAAAAGTTCAGTAATATGTCAAAATAAAGAAAAACAATTTTTTTTCAAAAAAAAAAATTAAAAAAAAAAAATTTTTTTTTTTTCAAAAAAAAAGTAATTTTTTGTCCAATTTATAGTTTATAGATATCTCAAAAATCTAATTTTTTCAAAGTAAATTTTTTTCAAAAATGTTAATCGTTTTTAAAAAAATAATAATTTTTGGTACGGGAAGTTCCAGCAATTTGCCTTAAGGCACGATGCTTTAATTGCCTTAAGACAGAATTCCACTTACAGCTAGTTTATACAACTTTTGTATATATATATATATATATATATATATATTGTATATATATACATAAAAAAATAAAGGATGGTACCACAATGGAGTTTTACGACCGAGTCGTAAAAATGTTATTTGCAAATTTCTGTATAAATGCAGTGCCAAATTATGCACCAATGCACTTTTTGAATGCATCATACACACACGCTATATATATATATATATATATATATATATATATATATATATATATATATATATATATGTATGTATATACAAGCTGACCCGGCAAACGTTGTTTTGCTAAGTAAGGTTTATTCTAAATGATTTCTAGAAAATCAAAAATATTAACTATATATACTTTAAGTGTATAAGGATGTGTTGTTTGAATGCTATATACAATGAGCAATGATTATAAAAACAATAAACCCCATTAGTTTGTCTATATTTTGTCAATGCAATCAAAGTGGGAGTTTTATACACTTTCTATAGAAAACATCGTATAATCCAATCCAAGTCTTTTTTGGTCTTTCGACTTATTGATTACGTTTCAAGTCTTTCAGATTCTTTTTCGATTCTAGATCTTGTGTATAATTGTAAATAATACTACTACTGAGCTTATACAAAATTTTCAAATTTTTGCGAGGAGAGATAGAAAATGAATTAAGTATTTCTTCTTTGACATGCTTTTTGAAAAGTTTCAAGTTCGAACATTTGATGAATTAAAGTAAATTTAATAAAAAGTATAAATGTAGAGCAGGGCGAGTCACAAAAGTCCAATATGAGCAAATATTAATTATATTATAATAATCAAACCAATTATATCACAACAAATAACACATTTCAAAAGAACAATTATCTGACTACGTTCAGTAAAACTGCCTTCTACTTCATCATTGTAGAAATGTGCTTTTTTGATGTCTTTCAAAAATAATGTTATCTGGACCTTTTTACCCTATAGGCGGGGTAATTTGAAACGGGCAGGTGGCAAAAAGGTTTAAAGTCTTATTATAATTTTAAAGGTATTTTACAAAACAATTACATTTTTAACTAATGCCAAAAAACTACCAACGGAAGAAAATACTTTTATTATGGATTTTCAAAGATTACCGTTTATCTCCCGATAGCAAAGTCATGAGAATCAAGGTTATAGCTGGTTATACATCTTTTTCCCTCTACTTTCAAATGTTATTGTTATACAATGCTTAACTTTACTGGTTTTTGACACATTGGTGGTGGACCTTTTTTATCCCGGACCTTCATATATTACTATCTATTCTTCGATATATTCAACAAAATGTCCCTTTGATCGATACCAAATTTAGGTTCTGAATTTAAATAGCATAAATAAAAAATAATATAACCTAGAAAATGTTTTATAAATACCAATGCGTATATAATTATTCAAATGAGATCTTTCAGAGCACCGTGTTTGAGAAAAATATGCCAAAAAGTGCATTTTCATATTAACATTTCAAAAAAGTTGATATTTCGAGTCTCTAGTAACACTTGCGGACGGTTTACTAACGTTTTAGTATATAAATAAAACTACAAACAAAACTTAATCATGATTAAATAATATTCACGCAAAACATCCTATTAAACGTAATTGAACATCATCTGTCAAAAACTTTTGACATTTGACGTATTAGCCACCGTCCATTGTTTTATTTAAATTACGCTTCTACAAAAAATGTTCAAATTAAAAATGTAAAGTTTCTACGCGATTTTGAAATATTATCTCACCTTTCCGACAATCTACTGATTGGCACGAATTTTTAA